TCCTGTTTGATAAAAATCACTCTAATTAAAAGATTAAGAAGACTTTCAAGAGAGTTATTTCAAAATTTAAGATTTTTATTTTGTTCAACAAAAACTTTATTTATCCTTTGATAAATCCATCTAAGGAATCAATGAAGCATAAAAAACCAAATAATGATCACATACATATGTTGAACTTCGTTTTTTCTTGTCCTCCTCACTTTCCAAGAAAAAACAAGACAAAAAAGGCACTATTCTACGAAATCTGTTTTGTTCTTTATTTAATTATGATCAAAGATAAGAGAACTTGACGACGACATTTAGCTGAACCACATTTGCAATCCATTCGACGGCCAGCTATTTTATCTACTGTATAATGATAATTCCAATTAAAAATGAATGAGCAAAACAATGATAATACGTAAACAAAACTGATCGATGTTTTCAAATAAAAAATCATAAGAATTATACATCTTCTTTTTTTCAAAGCTCCATAAATAAGATTTAAATAATTGTTCTAATTAATTTTTCATTTAACATACACTTACTAGATATCCAAGAAAAATCATCTAATCTCCAAAGGCATAATGTTTCTAAATTGGGCATAGAGTTACTAAGAAAAGGCATAAGATATATTTATTAGCCAATAAAAATCGATTTCGATGCCTAGAAGTAAGACGAAAAATAGCTAAATAAATCATTTTTAGTTATGAGATTTGACTTGTTGAAAAGAAAATGACAAATTTTGAATGATGGATGTGGATACGTGTCTTCTATTTAGTCATATTCCCACCCACACCCGAAATCTAAAGTGTTGTGTTTCTTAGAATTCATTGGGTGTGGGTGTGTGGGTGGGTGTGGGTGTGGGTATGCGGTATGTGTATGGGTGTGGGGTATGGGTTTGGGTTTGGGGTGTGGGCGTGGGTGCGGGCGTGGGTATGGGTATGAGTATGTGCATGGAGTGTGGGTGTGGTGTGGGAGTGAGTAATGTTTTCATTCCTACCCACACCCGCGTCTACGATCACTATAGGCACGTAATATTTTCAGTTTTTCAATTTAGCAGAGAGACTAATGAAATGATCCGAACATGATCGATCTTCTCGTGTATCACTACACACCGTTCTGTTGTAAGAATAAGTTAATTTTTGACAAAAAGCATCACACGTAATAGAGAGATGTGTAGTTGTGAGCTCATTGACAATAGTTCAATGTCTCTTTTTCATTTTGTTGACATCTTCAAATGCATTCTTTCAATGATTTCTACAGTACTGATGTCAATTTATCGCTAACGTATGTTCAATGCTCTGTAGATGATATTCATTTAATAAACTTGCAGCGCTGCTTCTGCGATATTAAAAAGTGGAACAGCATCTCAAAATATCTGTCATTATCTGTTACATAACTGAAAAAAAGAAGACAATGTTATTGCTCTACCATTTTTTGACAATGAAAACTCTCTAGTCAACATTGTTGAACTGATGAGTAGTGTATTGTACAGATTTTTTTATATTGATCTATAATAAGTGCAGAAAATCAAGCAAGTGATTTCGAAACAGAGTGTAATTTACAAGAGAGATGTTGACTTCTCTTTGCACAGAGTATAGCATAAACAGACGAAAAGAAAAGCTGTACGGATTGACTATTCTTATCGTTCTTCGTTGCGATTCTAAGTTAGAAGATATTTTTAAATCGTTTAACTCACGATTGTACCACTGATCCATGGGCAGTGTAACTAAACATATTGGTGCCCGTCGATGCTATTATCGAATATAAGTAATCAATTTGAATACATTCATATGAATTCTAAAGAATGGGGTGTGGGTGTGGGTGTTGGTTTTCATAAATGCACACTCACGCCCACACCCACACCCACACCCTCTGACCTTAGCCAAAAAGGCCGAGAACCAATAACTTAACAGTCAAACACAAGTTTGTCATGTTAACATCGTTCGTGTACACTCTATACTTGCACAAAACAGAGAACAATTTACTCGTAGTGGAATGACCATACTAGTCAACATGGGGATGTGGGTGTGAGACCGTTAGTTGTGCGATGTGGAGTGGGCGAGAAAAAATAGTGACATCCACATCCACAACTACACCCACATCCACACTCTTTTCCCATTACAATGCGATTTTATTGGATAGCAAAAAATAGAACACGATGATTTCCATAGTCGACGACATAGAGATTGCCATGTCGATCGAAAGACAAACCACGGGGATATGCGAATCCATTTGCTTCTTCTTCTTTACTATGTCCATCCGCAATGACAGTGCCTTGTTTCGCTCCTTGAGGCCAACGCACGACTCGATGATTCCAAGCGTCTGCTATATAGAGGGTACCCAAGGTATCGACGATGATTCCGTTAGGGTGCGACAATTGTGTCAGAGCATATCCTTGGCGTTGACCTCCAGCGACGGCAATGCCTTCTTTTGCCCCTTTATTCCATTTCGTCACACGATGATTGCCCCATTCAGACACGTAGACAGTCTGTTGTCGATCGACAAAGATGTACCTCGGGTTATTGAGCTGATAGAGGCCATCACCTTCGCCGTTACCACCAGCTACGAGAGTTCCATCTTTGTCTCCGCCTATTTGATATCGTCTTACTTCATGCTTTTTGTAGTCAGAGATGTAGAGATATCTCTGTTCATCCATGGCTAATCCATGACAATCGATGTTGTCGATGAGGATTTCTCCTTGTGTAGTGCCACTATAACGTGACCATCGTACGACTCGTCGATTCCAAAGATCACAAATAATGAGACTATTCGTCTCTTTGTCGATGAGCACGTCAGCTGGATTATTCAATTGATCCAATCGATTCCCATGGCCATTTCCACCAGCAACAACTTGTCCACTTGTATCACCCATCTTCCATTGGATGATTCGATGGTTGCCCCAGTCAGCGATGATCGTCGTTTGATCATCATCAACGAAGAGACCTTCAGGCCAGAAGAATTGATTGGTGTCACTGCCCCATCCATAACCTCCAGCAACAGTCACTTCATTCTGTGCCCAACTGGCATTGACAGGAATACTGGGAATGACTATAATAGAGAAGAAAAATTAACCATGATCGTTCTCTCTGTCTCGCGTATCTGTGAATGGGATAGAGGACGAAATTGTTACAACCAGAATGAGATATTCTAAATGGTAAAAAACCTTCTTTTCATGGAGATGGCACATAGTAATGTACACGCAATTCCCATCAAATCAATATATGAAGAGGAGGGTTCCTGTGATTCCTTCTGAGGGACTAAGGACAAAAGTGTATTTACCTTGATTGTTGAAATATTAGAGCTGAAAATCTTTGTGAGTCATAAATGTTAAAAGATTTGGGATTTTTTTGTTTAAATGAGCTAAATCGATCTAGTCAGAGTAAAAAGGGAGTTACATACTGATGCAATAAATCTAAAGCTTTCGAAATACCGCTTAATTTATTTGTCTTCGCTCATTTTTCAAGTAGCCATCAGATGGACATTTCGAGGCGTTGAGTTGAGATTGTGATGGGCATCGAAAGTTAAAACAGAATGCTCGGATTCTCACTTTCCAATAGGTCGAGAATTCGGCGATGGAGCAGTAAAATATGATGTTTTCGACTAGTCGAACGAGTTTAATCGGGGGGATCCAAAAATAAACAGAATGTTTCTGATAGATGTCTTAATTTTAATCAATCGAATGCTATTGAATAAATGCGGATGAGGAGATTAGAAGAAGAATACTTACGATAAACAGTCATCGAACATCAAAACTATTTCTCTTCTATGAAAATTGTCTTTTCAATTCTTACATGAATAGTACTTTGGAATGTAATTTTTCTTCAAGTTTATTTTAAACTTAAGTTTACCAATTAATTTTTAAAAAAAACAAATACCCAATCTTAATGAATTTAAGTTAGATTTAAATTCTTCAGATCCTTTATTTTTAGATTTGATAAATTTTCCAAAATGTAAATATATCATTCCTCCTGGTATTTTGGATTTTAAAATTTGCTCATAGGTTTAAAAAATTAGTAAAAACCATTTTAATAAAAACAACACGTTTTTCACCTGTCTACTTACCGAATTGACTTTTAGCGAGTTTCAGATACCATATTGGAAACTTAATTGATAAATAGGGCATTCAGTAATTAACTGAGTTTTGGAATAGGCTATGAAATCAATATTTTATTTTTCTAGAAATACTCATAACAATATTCGTTAAGATTTTTTGTTATCTTTCACATCACTTTAGACTATATATTGTTAATTGTGGTTTTTTGTCATTTTATATGAATTACTTTCTAGAAAGTTATGAAATTATGAACAAAATGCCTGCCATATAGATCACTCTTCTAAGAGAGTCTAGTGAAGGAGACATGTGGCGATCTCTTTTCAAAAAAATTTCACAAACTCAAAATTAACTTAATCACTTGCAACTACTTTTAGAATGTGGGAATGAGTGTGGTGTTTGTTGAACAAAAAATACTACTCTCACATCCGCACTCACATCCACACCTTCACAATCGAGAAAAAATAACAAAAATAGTGTTCAATGCAAAAGTAATGGACAGATGTTGGACTCTATTAATGTTCAATAGACAACTTTTGAAAAAATGTTTTACCAAAAGAGAGATCTTTTTCTTCTCTTTCGAATCATATATTATTATTTTTACATCACGGTCATAAACGAGACATCGTACAAGAGAGGAGAAGCACCCTTAAACGAACTCGCACTTTTCATGAGATTCAACAAAAAATATCAGTGCAAAACGTTATTTCTAGAACTTTTCAGCAAACAGATTTTTAATTTTTTTAAATAGTTTATAGAATATTATCTGCTTTTTCAAATAGTGTATCCTTTATATGCATTACATATTCATACATGAAAGGAGACAAAAAAGAAAGGAATATTCGTGCAATAAAATTATAATTCCTTATAACAAGATATTTTTAATGAATGCATATAAAAATAATAAATTCATTACGCACGTGATCTTCTTTCTTTCTCGTCTCATTTCATTCATGAATGTGTGACAAATATGAGTCATGTATTGTTTGAAAGAGAACAAGAAGATTTCCTATCAACCTACAGAAAACAATATTCTCTTCAGAATCTTCTATCGAAGAGAAATAGGATCTGATATTTGTACTATTACTTCTGCATTATGTGTGTCTCAATGGTCATCAAAATAAGAATTATAGTTGTCTTATTGAATTAAAAAACAATCGATTAAACTCAATTGAATTGATGAATTGAATGAATACAGTCGGAAATAATGTCATAAATTTGAACTTGAAGAATCTAACTGTAATAACGATCTCATCTATATTCAATCATATCCACCACGATTCATTCCTATTATCTAATATCATACACTTCTATCATGTTGATGTTTCATCGTATTTGAAATAAATCACAAACTAGTTACCTGAGAAAAATTATTTTAGTATTATTCGTTTTATTCTAAATTATAAAGAAAATATATGATACTATTCTATGAAAAGATTTGTAGTTTAAATCAATGCTTTTTGATTACATGATTATATAGAGCCAGATAAGTTGATTACTAATTCCAGTAAAATCATTTATTTTTTTCAGAAAATTTTTAAAAAAGCTCTAGAAATTCAAATAATCAAATAGAAGATGATATTCAATATTTGGTTTTTTTCAAAACTTCCTAATTATCTGTAACACATATACGGGGTGGGCCATAAATAACACGACGATAAGAAATTTAAATATCTCCGCCGGATTTCGATCAAACAAGCTGAAATTTTTCCCAATAATAGAGGGCTACCTAAAGTTTTTTTTTCACAAAACAAACATCAACAAATCCTGTTTCTAGCTAGTCAGATCAACATCAATAAGGATCTTTCATTTGCTGCAGGATGATTCCAGAGTATTTTTATAAACCGTTTTCTATCAATTCTAATGGACATCAACTTGAACATTTGAATCAAGCTGCTCTATAATTTTAGTTTGTATTCACTCTTATTCATATAAAAAATTTCGTTTTGATCGCCTCATGTCATCATCTGGAAAAAGAGTCTCAGAAATGCATATGGGTAATTCTGCAACATTTTAAAGCTCGCAATAAGTGAAAAATCCTTATTGATGTTGATCTGACTAGCTAGGAACAGGATTTATTGATGTTTGTTTTGTGAAAAAAAAACTTTAGGTAGCCCTCTATTACTGGTAAAAATGTCAGCTCGTTTGTTCGAGATCTGGCAGAGATATTTAAATTTCTTAGCGCCGTGTTATTTATGACCCATCCTGTATATGTAAGTGATCAGCTAGAAACGAAACCTTGATTATTTTGTATATATGAATTTTCAATTTTATATCATAAAAAATTATAGTAAATGCAAAATATCAACGAACTAGCACTTTTTGAAATAGTTGAATATATCATGATGAATAGAAGAACTATCGAAATCTTTGTATCAAAGACGTAGTTATCTATGAAAAAGAGATAACCTCTTGTAACTGAATTCACAGTGGATGATGAGACTTTGATTGTAAATTATTTTTGTATTGTTAAAAAATTGTCATGGATAAAGCTCACTTATTTTAATGCAACATCGAAAAACTGAATGGACAAGAACTAGTTGATTAGGTTTCAAACCAAATATCTTATCTTCTTAGAAACACTCGAAAATAATTGAAAAAATTACTGAAAAAACAATCGAAGTTTTTCTCGATTACAATCAGTAGAGACAGATAACGTGTCTAAACACAATAATTACACATTAAAGATGTAGAATTAATCAAACGATGATATATATTCGTTCTAGGATGCATTTATTCTCAACGAAGTTCATGTTACTATCGTTTTTAATGTGAAAAATAGTCGACAAAATTTACATTAGAAAAACAAAAGCCTTTCGTTGGATACAAACAAAAAAGAAAATATCACTTTAGATATTAATGAGTAGTTCTTCTAAACTTTACGTTACAGAGAAAGCTAAAAGAAATAGTACTTCTTCAGGCTTTTTACCCTTAGAAGAACAAAAAACAGGTTCTTATTTAATATCTGATATTTTCAACTTAAAAATGAAGTTTGAGTTCCTATGACCCGTATATTGGAGAAATAAGTTTTTCCTTTGTAGTGACTTACATTCTGCTAATAGCATCTTGCATCTTTTTTTATTATTAATTTAGTTTATTTACAAAACTCGTAGATTCCGTTTACAAAAAAAAGATGTTTTCCAACTATAAATTTTTTGATCATTGTCTCTAGGATCTTTCTCTTAAAATTCTATATTGCATACATTTCATCTTAATTCAATTCATATTACAGTTGATGGCTTTAACAATTTACTTTAGTAAAATCTTCCATAAATCAATATGAATTGTGAAAGAAACTCCTAGTTATACAACACTACTAATCAACTCTGAAAAATACTTTGAACAAGTACACATTTTCAATTTCAGTACAGTGTTCTCTTTCGCAAAAACAAAATATGCATTCTTTCGTTTGAGTAAATATCTTCCATATCTGTTCATTTCACGATCATTCTCTAAGATTTGTAATATGATCCTAGTGTATCACTGATTTGTAGAAGTAATATAGAATTTATAAAGTGCAACTGTGAAGTATAGGATCAATAGAGTTACCATATTTAAACGCTGATATAAAAAGTCAGTACAAGCTTTTCATTTTCCTTTCTGACTCATAGACTATTCAAACATTTAACTATGCAATCAACAAAAAGAATTGTGAACAAAGGTACCCTCAACGATTGTCCATCTCAGCAACATTAGAAAAGACAAAAAAAAATACAGGTTATCTTTCTAATTAATATTCATGTCAGGCTACACGAATATAGTATAGAATATAAAGAGAAGACAAAAATTTTTGCTCAGGAGGTGTATGATTAAGCTATCTGTATTAGAGAGACTTTTCATTTTTATAAATTTTAAATTCAATCAAATCACTTTTTTCTTATTAAATTTTTAATACTTTGAATTTTATTTCTGATTTATAATTTGACTCTTTTAAAATAACATATAAGTGACGAAATTAAAGAGGATTATTTTTGCAAGTGAAAATATTGCATTATGATCCAGTTGAGGATCGGTGTGGGTATTGGTCTGTCTCATCTACATTCACATCCTCATGACAGTCTGAAAGATACTACCCTCTGAGATCAAACAAAAAAGAATTCTTAGAAACGAGTTTTTAAATTTATATATCTATCAAATGATAGGGATGTACATATGCGTGAAGATTTATAGAAGAAGTGCTCACACCTACCCCCCCGCCCCCCTCCCTTCCCGATTCGTTTCATTTTCGGCTTCAGATACAACACAATCCATAAAATGTTGCTTGATAACAATTCAAAGCATCATAATTTTATGAAAAAGATTGTAGCTCAGTCAATTTTTTTTTTATGTACTAGTCTACATTCACCCAATTTTTCCAAATTAGTTAGGGTTTGGATTGATTCATTTTCAGTATCTGCTGCATATAAAGCAGATATATATATATTTCATTAAAAATTAATCTTTATCAACATCAAGAAGCATTAATATAATACTTACCTAGCTGTTGAGTAGTTGTTTTAGTTGTGGTTATGGTTACTGGTGTAGTTGTCATTATCGGTGTGGTTGTAGTTAGTATTGCAGTTGTTGTTTTCGTTGTAGTCTTTGTCACTATTCATCATTATAGAAACTTAGATGCTAACAAAGCAGATATCTTTAGTTCGAACATAGTATGTGACAAAAACTTGATGCGCTGAAGCTTTAGATGAAGTCTAGCAATGTTTCAAACTAGAGCTAGATTGTCAAATAGGTTGAAAAGCGAATTTTTTCTTTCAAAAACTGAATTGATTTCTGATAGGAAACTTCTATATTCATCAGAGATTGAAGACAAATAAAATTTTCGACGATTTTATTCAATTTGGTTCAGCTGAATCAAATCTCGCCGTATCGATTCAAATCACTGCGTTTAATTTCTTGATTTTGAGAAATCTTGAGAACAAGAAAAGACTTGTGAGACCATGAAAAACAAAATCATATTATCTACACTTCATAGATTACTTAGGGTTGGTTAAAAGTTCTGATCCTGGTATTTAAAGGATCCTGTCGAACACGATGGCCTTTCAAAAAATGAAAAACTAAATGTACCAAGTTGTAGAGCATTTTGAGGCGCGTCGAATAGTATGTAGTAAATCCTATTTTAATAAAACTTGAAAGGAACTAGAATCAATTTACTGGTAGACAACTAGACATTCACACTCTCAATTTCCTCGTATTAAAGATAAGATGACCGAAGATGCTACGTATATGTGATTGTAGCTCGTCAGTAACTCTACAAAATCGAATATGAGAAAAACTATTTTACAAATATTTTCGACTCATACCAAAAACAACAATATTCAGTAACTTATCACGCTTCCCATGTAACCATTTTTTGATTTTTGACGCGTCTCGGAGCGTTTACGAGTAATATAACTTGACGCGTTGGGATGCGTCCAAAATGCAACATTTTCGGAGGTACAGACGCGTTTTGATTGAAGGAACGCATCTTAACTCGTTCGAATTCTAAACGCATCAGAGCTTATTTACATAAAAAGATGCGTTTAAATGCGTCCAGAATGCAACATTTTTTGGCGTCTAAACGCGTTAGGTTTTCTTCAAAAAATTAAAAAAATAGTTATTATTACATGTTGCAATCGAACCAATACACTATAGCGAACTATGATATAGCATTCTGATACTGTGAGCAATATTATGGTAATTTTTTATTCGACTGCTTGAACTAAGATTCGAATCCATAATCAATCGATTACAAACCGAACGTAACATCCATTGAGCCAAACGCCAGTCAATAATGACGTTATGTTCATGGAGATCACTTCAATGAATGTTACTGCAAGATTTGCCACATGTACAAAATTGCGTACTCAATTATTTTATTTTGTAAAATAAACGTAAATAGAAAATGTGTGTGTATGAAATCATGATAGAGCAATATCTAGTTGTTTTTAAGACCAAATTAAAAAATAAAAATCTTTAATACTCAAAAAATAAATAAATTTGATAGAAAAAAGAATTTTGTGTGATAGATTAATAGACAATGAGATGATTACAAGTATTAATTGTGCTTCTTTTAGTGACTAATGATACGAGAAAACATCACATTTGATTCTAAAATTAAGATTTTATTTGAAATATTGAAAAAAGAAAACTCTTATCTGCTAATGTATTTTTACCCACCACGTTTTAATTCTTTAGAGTATTTAGAGAAAGTAAAATCAAAGGTTTATCTTTATAGGCGTTTTAGTTTTTATCACCTTCCACTTCAAAATGATACTTATCAGTTTTTTGCAAGAGCAGGTATGAAAAATGATAAAATGAATATTTTTTATTTTTAACACAAGAAAGAATTGTTTATTTATTATATTTATCTAACAAATGTAAGCTTCTACCTATGCTCCTTCGTTTATTATTTTATCATGAAGAAAAATGATAGGCAATCTTGTTTTGAAAAGAATTGGCCTTCACATAATAGATAAACGTGTTAAGACTTACTACATATGTCGATTTGCATTAATAGCAACATTCCTACATATAATACCAACTGATTTAAAAAAATATATTTTTTCTTTCAGTTTCTGGCGTTCATAGGTATTTAATGAGATAATATAGGATTCTAAGTTAATCTTATAATTTGAATGACATTTCTGTGATGATGGAACTCCCTGAGCTAGTGTTTACATTTTTACTCTACGTATTACTAGTCTTGTTGATTGAATATTGGTAGCTATAAAGGCTGCTATTATGACCAACACCCGTCTGTTTCATCACAACTTACTCATTTTAATGCACTGTGAAAACTTTATTGAGTCAGCAGAAGTACTCACTATAGCAGACTTTGTTGTGTGTAGTGATAGAAGACAGTTTTACTCGGATACTACTAGATTTTCTCAATCATGACAGAATTCAAGTGATAATGCAACGTAAATGCATACAAATGTATTTTGCAAGAGATTTCGAAATGCGTCTGCATGCGTTTGTTAGCTTTTTCAGATCTACACTAATAACTCTTTTCTAGACCGGGCACAAACACGTTTGAATTTGTGGTCTAAACATGTGTATACGCGTTTTTTCTGATAATCGTTCGTGAACGATGAATAAATTCTGAACGCGTTCAGACGACATGTACGGGATGCGTTTAGCAGCGTTCACAGTACTCTTTTGTGCAAAACGCATCAAAAATATCGCTGTTTGCAACAAAAACGCGTTTTCTTTAAACTCCTATTAAAATAGGATTTACCATATGCCATTCGATGCGCTTCAAAAAGCTCTACAACATGATATATTTAGTTCTTCATTTTTGAATAGGTCATCGTGCACAACAGGGTTCTTTAAATACTGAAATCAGAACTTTTGGTCAATCCTAAATAATTGTCTTATCTATATAGTTACTCTTGCAAAAATTTGTCAAAAGGGCTAGAAAGCGGCAAGTTCAGTGCTGAAACGCGTTATGCACACGTTTCCGTTACCAAAAATGATAGCTTATTCTTGTCAAATTCGTCACTTCTGTTCTATTAGGAATAGGAGCAAGAATTTATGTATGCTGGCTACTGTTACAGTACAAGGCCGTTATATGAACTACGATGGTTGTGATTAGGGATGACCTTATGTCGTTACTATCCTTTATTATATAGAATAAACATAAATAAATCCTTTATCTCTTTAGAAAATGAAGATAAATGAATCATTTATATTTAAAGAATAAATGATAATTTTTTTCGTTTATTTATCTTCAGAAAATAAAGATAGAAGTTTCATTGAACTTTATAAAATAAAGTAATATTAAAGTATCACCCCTTGTTATGATTTCAACCTTTCACATAAAGTGCCCATTTGTTAGAATGTTCAGCTTAAGTCATTTTAACATTCCGCTATCAGATCGGCAATATGAATCGAAGGAATTTAAAGGAGCATTCGAGAAAAAACCAGAATAATACGCTGAAGATAAACTATTTTAAACCATCCTGGCTCTCCCTCGTCGTCAGACTGTTTGAACTTTTACAACTTTCTCTTACGTAATAAATCTAACACAATTTATCATATTCAGGCGTTGTCTCCACAGTAAATAGTAGTACCAATGGTGACATGCCAATGTGCTCTTTTGAGGTCTAGCGATCACTACGGAATATCTAAGTAATCAGCCGTTACTTTCACATATGTACTCATTACAAATAGGAAAGAAAGCCATAAATGCATTTATGTGCACGCTAACTATCATTGATAGTTGTTTTGTAAAAAAAAAGGCTATCGATTTCACTTATTTTTTACAAGAGTCATCCTGCTATATAATGAACACTGTGAACAAAGAGAAGGATGATACAAAAGAATTGCTGTGTCCGTATGTTAAGATTTCAACAGATGGCATGTTCTACACAATTAGATCAAATCGAATAATGAAGTTTTCAATTTGTTTTAGTATCTGATACTCATTCAAAAGTTTCCTGAGTCTTCATGTATTGTTAGATATAATCACAGCAAACTTTTCATTTCATATTAACAAATATGGTGTATGACACGATATGAAACTTTTTCTTCAACAATTGCAATTCATTTTGTTTACGTTACGTTTTATCTAAATTTTTCAAAGACTCTTCCGCCCTTCCGGCTGTTCCTATACGAACATGAATTGCATGCGTGAGGATGTATAAACAGTTAAGAAATACCTTTAAAGAATATTCTAATTCGTCTTAAATTTGTAAATCATTTTTTGTTCTCTTACTTGGTATCGGTGGACAGATTCCTTGATCCATCATGCGTATCGGATAACAAACAGGAAGATTATGACATCGAGGATGATGAACGCAGGTATACTCAGGATCATGACAAAGGTTGCTTGAACTTTCGCATGGAACTAGTTCAGAGCAAGTGACATATTTAAAGACACAAATACCGACATCAGCAGTACCAACCATATGTAAACAACCGCATGCAGGATTCAGTGAACATCGATCATATTGAGACATAGTAAGGCATACTTGAGAATGGACTCGAACTATCGATATACTAAATTAATAGCAAGACATGGAAAACGAAACAAATATGTGAGGCTTAAAAGAAAGTCTGCTCTAGGAGACAATAATAGAAAAATAATGGGGTTCGAAGATTACCTGTATAGAACGAATACAAAGGAGCGAATAACTATTGAAATCATTGCTACTGTTGAAATGAAACAGAGTAGCGACGGTACTCATTTTTATATTTAACGAGCAGGTGATATTTTTTGCATTCATCGAAAATCAGGAGCCACATGATATAATCTTTCGATTAATGGAAATTCGATATTATTCGAGCACTTTATTTCAGTGCCTCATTTTTTGTTCGAAAAAAGTAATCTTTATAGAAGAAAAACGCATAATAAAAGTAATATAGTATTGTCCTTGCGGCACAAACAGGATGAGTGTGGATGTGGGTCAGTGGCGGATCCAGAATTTTAGAGAGGGAGGTAGCGGTTCCTAAATTATATTATCGAAGGTAGTATGAATTTCAAAAGTAAATAAAGTGATACGTTCATTTTCTTACAATTCTTTATTTCGTTTTGATATAGTAAATCAAAAAATTTGCGAAAACTAAAACAACTTTTGCAGTCAACCCTAAAAAAATTCGTCAGCGATTAGATTTTGCAAATTCATCAATTACAGCATCAACATTTAGATCTAAATCTCGATAATTATACATCATAGCTAATCCATTAAGTCCTGTGTCTGATATCATCGAACGTAAATAAGTCTTGACTCATTTGGGAACAGAAAGGGTTTGTTCTGTAACTGCTGTTGCAAGGAGAAGAAATCTCATTCGAATTCATTCGAAATTATGGAAATTAGAGCTGCTAGATTATTATTACGGGTAATAAGTAATCAAAATAATAATCTTATTATTTTATTACCAATAATAAGCAATAAAAGATTCTTATTACTTATTTCTGTAAACAAGTAATAAAAATTTGAAAGTAATAAAAGTAATGAGTAATAAAGTTGCACGAAACTAATTCATAGTTTGTTAATAAGAAACAAGAAAACTTCTAATATCATTAAAATGATAAAAATAATGGTGTGGGTATGGGTGTGTGGTGTGGGTGCGCGTATAGATGAAGAGAAGATCCATACCTGCACCTTCACCCACATCCATCTATACATCTATGAAAGACTGAAATTGCTAGAGTGATTTGTTCAAAAAAAAGGCAACATTTATCAAGAGCATTTGATAGAGTTGGGTGTGGGTGTGATGAGAAGATCTACATCCACCCACACCCACACCCACATCCACACCCCAAGATAGTCGATAACAGAAGACCGGAAAACCAAACCAAAACAGGCTTTTTCACTACTCACTAAGACCAATCGAATGACAATTGAGTCAAGCAAAAAGCGATCGGACAGTTGGGGATGTTCCTTCGTGAGATGTCAGATATGAGATATTTACTCCATATATCTTGTCTTAGTTTCCAGATTAACTCTAGGATTTTTTGGAAATCAAATCAGTCTCCAAAAATCAAATAACCTTCCCTATCTTGAGGGTGAGGAGAGCGAAAAGCATTCACAAACACCTCTGGCGCTTTTATATATGCGAAAAAAGCATGACGAAATTTCTTTCGGTTCAAGAAAACTGATTCGATATCCGAAAAATTGGTTTGATTTTCCCTTTGTGGCCATTATACCTATAAAAGATTTCCTGTAGGTAACTAGGAAATTAATTGAGTTTTTGGAAAAATAATTGAAACCATCAGACCTTTTACTCGCACTATATGTTTCTGAAATATTATCAGAAAGCAGAAATTACGGATTTAACATTCATATTTCTCAAATCTAAAAATATATAGTATGGGTTTATTTGTGCTTTTCTGGTAGTTTCTCAGAAATGTATTGTATAAATAGATATCTGATATCTGCTGTCTGCTGACGATCTTGAACTATGTATAGAAGTAAATATCTGATACATTGACCAAAAATCAAATATCACCGGTCTGAAATTTAGTGAAAATTGATTATAATTTGATATTTGGCACAATTTCTACCTTGAAAATTCACCGTCTATCCCTATTAAGAAATGAAATATGAACTAATCTTGTAATAGCATATCATCTCCTAGAATCAAATGAAAATTTAATACGATTAGAAAATTTTTACGTTAAATTGAGTCCAAAGTCTTTTTATCTGTTCAATCTATATAAATTTCAATCCGATTAAAGCTTCATATTGTCTCATCTTAAGGACAAAATGCAATTAGAATATAAAAGTGCTTGATCAAAAAACAACAAAATTTAAGTGAATTACGATCCTGTTGCTATGATAAAAAAAAGCCAATCATATGGTTTTATTTCTTCATGTTTTACACAGAAAACAAGATTCATTTATTCACCAACATATCAGAAAAAAAGAATGAGTATGTTGAAAATAGTATGCAATGAAAGATAATTATCGGTCCGATCGTTCACTTTTATCAAATAAAAAAGTAATCAACGACTGATTGCTTTTCGCTTAACATCATTCGTGCTTCTTACAATATTTTCAAAATTCAATCATCTATGAATAATTATTTTTACATCAGCAACATCACTCTAACAAACATTCATGTTTAAAATATTGTGTATATCTACAATAAAAACTTAGAGATAAACCATAAGCAATACCACTATTCATCTTTCGGATGATGTAAAATAATCTGATATATTTCAGACATAGATAGTAGAGGTAATCTTCTCTTTTGTTTGATATTTTCGATGGCAAGTCTCACTAGAAATGCTGTGATAGTATGAAAGGAAACTTTTCTTTTATATAAAAATCACTTTATCATTGATACAAGTACTTTCAATTTGTCTTTATTTATACATTAATAAATACAATTAAACAAATAATCTATGAGTTATTATCATTCTGAACAATATGTACATATCAATTGAAATGTTTGATTATCATTTTCCATTGTAACCAGTTGGTCGAATGACGTATGGACCGGTGAACACTTTCTTGGCATCTAGTTAAATATAAATACAATGATAGAAAAAATTTTTTGAATTCGTTCTTCGAAACATACTTTGTGCTTTAAGAAAACGAGCTTCTTGACAAAGAGCACATGAATCACAGCACAATGTTGTTAGACAATCACCACAACTTGGATCTTCACGTAAATTATATTTATCTCGAAGACTTTTTCGTTTCATACAATGAAGTAACCAACTTAAACCACATTCGGCCAGACAAGAATAAGCCAAACACATGAACACACAATTGCTATCATCAATTTTCTTCGCATTTGAACCAAAAAGACATGGTGTACACCAAAATCCATAGCAGCATGAATCACAATCATTCATACAACCAAATAACGATTTTATATAATAGTTCATTCAAAATATTTCAATAGAATCAAAAAGCATACTTACCATTCCATTCATTTTGACTTATTGCCATGATAAACAAATTTCGAAACGACGAAGAGAAACACTGATGACAATAATATTAGGGGTGTGGGTGTGGATATATGAAGGAGAAGACTAACACCCACACCCACCCACACCCACACCCACACCCACCCACACCCACACCCACCCACACCCACCCTAAGGATAAACGATGACCGTTTAATTTTCATTGTAGATTATTCAACGCGGTCGAACAAAAAAGAAAAACATGTAGATGTTAATCGGACGTCTTATTCGTCAGAACAATAATAGACAAAACATAACAATGGAATCCTAGGTGGATCATTCCGGCCGTCGAAAACGGCGTCGTATCCGGCCTGAAACGACTATAATACGGCGAATTACTGCAGTAATTTTGGCCTTATTTCGCCGTAATCCGTCATACCGTATTACGACCACCGTCTATCGCTAGAAAACGGCGGTCGTTTTTTTCCGGTTTTGCTTCCGTAATCTGGTATGACGCCCAGGCGAGCAAAAAATAAGGGGTGACGCCCGATATGACTAGTCTAAAGTGTCCGTAGTACCCGTCTGGACTAGTCTAAAATGTCTGCACTGCCCTTTGGACTAGTCTGAAATGATTTGCAGCAAGTCAGGACTAGTCGTCTTCACGAGGAACGTCTTGCATCTAAAATAGACTAGTCCAAAACATGCTCTAATCTTGTCATGATTAGTCCGTTTTGTATGTGCATACTGTCCAGACGCGTCAACTTGAAGGCAAAAACTGGAAGAAACGGAGGCGATAGGCGGATTCGAACATTCAAGCCGACAATATTGGATACCTGACTAGTCTGAACTGTTTTCAATGAGTAACGCGGACTAGTATGAAGAGTCATCTATATTGGTCATGACTAGTCGTTTTCGAGAAAGTAATGCTAATTCTGGTCTAGGCTAGTCTATCCTTCCAAACAGTCTTTATTGCTTGGACTTAATCATTCGGACAATTCGTTTTGACTAGTTTGCATTGGGACTAGAACGATGTATCTAATGAGAGTTGGCTATTTATGTCCTTTTAAATTTTTAAATTGTAATAACAATCAAGAATAATTTTATTCGAAAAATTAATTTTAATGCATTGATATGAGGATATTATTTTATTTCAATATAAAACCTAATGGTTTGAATTTAAAAATGGATTTAAACGGTGGAATCATAGTTCATTTTCAAATTTAAATAGGAAGTCTTTTAAATTAAGATAAACATAAACCATGAGATGAAAAGCAAGATTTTTTTTTGAAATATATATTATTATTTTGATTTTGATTTAAATTTGAATTGTTTTTTCCAATAGAAAATAACGTTTTCCAAATGTCGATAATCAAAAAAAAACTCTGTTGAAGGAAATTAAAAAAATTCTGAATTAATTTTGCTTAGCTTTATGTAACTAATTTTCGATTTTATTACAAGTAGTTTCTATAAATATTAAAACTTGAGAAAACGCTGAGTCAAACTGTAGTAATTAGTGTCTTCAGATGTTTATTGACACGTAAGAGTTGATCACTAGATCATATGACTCAATCGGGTAGACGATGAGTAAGTAACACAAGGTATGCATGTACGAATCTAACTTTCTGCACATATTTCTATCGTTTAGACTAGTCCGAACTAGACCGCTACATAAGACTGAAACCTAATAGATGTCGCGTCACAGACGCTCTGCTTTTTTTTATTTAAAATCTATTTTCGGACGGGATGTCCAGACGGGGTTAAAGATTCCAAACCATTTTGGACTAGTCATGTAGTAGGACTTTTTGAGAAAAAGACTAGACATGACGCATAGTCACGACTAGAAAAATGACTAGTCTTTTTACCCGTCCTTTGCTCGCCTGGGGGATTACGGTGCCGTTTATCGACGTTTTACATCGTTAATCGCCGTTTTATAGCCGTTTCAGGCCGTTTACGACGCCGTTTTATTGGACCTGGGATATAGAATACGTGTGAGAGAAGAAATGAAAGAAATTCATGCTATTCTCAATTTCTTTATTGTTTCATTACAATCATAATGATACATATGAAATAACTTCGAAATTAATTCATAAATAAAGTACAAAAAAAAAAAATATTTGAGACAACTTGAAGAAAGGACTACCTATTCATATGCATATTTTGGAAGCTGAATTAAAATTTCAAATTGGTATAACATATAAATTCAGAAACATCAATTTAACTGATGCATGTATAGAATTTGTTTTTGTTTGAGGAGGTGGTATTGAACATTATTTCAAAAAGAAGTTAGGAGTACCGAATTGGAATGAATGAATTTCATGATGTTTCTCTTTCGTTTTGTTCTGTCTTCTTGTCATAAAGTAAACCATAGGTGCGATCTTTTCAACCTTTCCATTTACACATACATAATGTTGCAAAGCTCATTTAACTGGAATAGATAATTAAAATTAATAAGAGAATCTTCTTCATTCAGTAGAGACAAGTCACTATAAGAAAGATAATCTAAATCAATTATGTCTTTTTCTCCTTACTTATCTATTAAAAATCAACATCATTCTTTTCTTTGTTTTATATATACTTTAAAAATATTAATTTACACAAAAAAAAAATAAAATATATTTAATATTATTATGAGAAAAACTTTACAAGAATGATTACATTCCTAGTTTGATTATGTCCAAGAAAATGAAATAATTTTTCATTTTGAATAAATTCTATTTACTCATCTATGATGGCTGTTTGTAGGCATATGGATAAAAATTATGTAGCAGAATAAGCAATCCTTTATGTTATATATCTATATTTTGATCAAGAAAATTCATAGATTGTTGATGTCATGCCTCATTTTCTCAAATGAATGAAGCAAAACATACATTATACTTTTTGAAAGTACACGAAATCACGATCATTTCAATAGATAACGACAGACTGAGTTCAAATAATCAAGTGAATTATAATTATTTCGTCTCTTCTTTTTGCAACTATTTTAAGAATTGCAGAGGCTTTTAAGTTTATGACTGTTCTCTTTCTTTCTTGAACGACATATAAAAAGGACATTTTTTGATAAAATAGAACAGTATTTGCAGATTAATTCATATTTATTTTTATAACAGCATTGCATTTCAAACATTATCAATTGATTGCCATAGTAATGTGTGATAAAATTACATAATCATGTAGTAAGTAACAATAAAAAAAAGATTCAAAATTTTCTAATCTCATGTATCCCAAAGTATTTCAAAAGAGTTCTGAGTTTTTTTTAATGTTCTTTCAATGCTATAACTTAAAATTTATGAAATGACACTGATGTTTTTTTTTACATCGATTCATTTTTTTTGAATTAATATTGAAATATAAAACTTTTCATTTTGAAGTACAACAAATCGATGTTTCATCCAAACTCAAATGTGGTGGACTCGCTTTTTTAAAATGTGGTCAATGTCATGATTGGTATGGCCGTAGTGGCGGTTTTGAAAGAGAGATAATGCCAAATGTACTCGGGATTCATTTTGAGCACATGGTGTTATTAGTGATCGTAACAATCATAGTTCTTATCCTCTTTCTCTTGGTCCTGTAATTAGACTCTGCATGTGGTTGAGTAATTGAAAAATCTAACTTTTTGGGTATGTACCTAACTCGAGTAGACCTGCACACTGCCAAAAGATATGGGTGATCGTGGATGATTGCAGGTTAAAAAAACAGTATTCATTGAAAATCATTCTTGTGTTTCAACTATTTCGGATGGTTGTGTGTAATCGCGACTTTGCACAAATACTCTTCAAATGCAGACCATGTTCTTATACTTCAACCCTGCATATTTCCAGAATGTCTCACCTATTTGTGCTTAAACTTTTAATTTATGCCTATCTCAGATATATGTACTTATCGTAGCTTACGAATAATGTTTCTTTTATGGCCGGTTGCATTTCGATTGAAGTACTAGAATTAATATGATAAATATTTTATTCATGATTAAAATAAGAACAGAAATGAACACATGCAAAACTATTAATGACTCGGATAATTCAGATGGAAAGGTTTACATCTTCGAAGTATTAATTATCAGTCTACCAAAAAGCATCATAAGCAGCAATAAGAGATTGACATGCCTTTTGAGAGCGCCACTCTTATCAGCATTGCCATTGCACATTGAGGTCATCGGACTGATGGCAACGACGAGAGTGAGTGCTGTGCTACTGTCAAATATGAGCAATGTCGATTAACCACTTCGACAGAATGTGGTACTTGTTAATGTAATTATTGTTCATGATTGCCCTATAATTAAAACATTTTCCAGATATTTACTAGGTTGTCTTAATGATATATTGGTCTACATGTGACTCAAATTCCATTGAAAACGATTATTTACATTTTAAACCATCCCCCATCTACCATATATTGAAGAATTTTATGGTAATTGTTAAGAGTTCAAGTAAGTTGGATTACTTTCAGATACTGGCTTTTTTTACACATTTGTGGATCGAGAGATCATACTCGAAAATATTTTTGTTTGTTCTTTTTTGTGTTAGAATCAGGGTAAAATAGTAGAACTCTGATAGAGCACATAGATTCGAAAGTTCCAAACCAGGAGGGTTCAGAAGAAAAAAAAATATTATAAATTATAAAGTACATTCCACGGAAAATAAATTGAATCGAAACCGCGATCAACCGCGCTTTTTTCGTAATGACTGCGGTTTCTTCTTAATGAACCGCAGTATCATAAAATAGACCGCAGTCAACCGCGGTTTGAAAAAGTTTCGGTATCCTAGGAATGAGTTACAGAAGTTAAAATCGTAACTTTTCTCGATTTTGGGTGTGGATGAGGATTTTGTCTTTGTATCCACACCCACACCCACCCTCAATTGGTATAATTTCGTATTCAAATAATTTCTGTAGTAATTTTTTATTTCTTGGTAATTGTAATATTTCCATAAAATTCTGTCCTTTGATATTTCTTCTTTGTAGATTGGATTCCATTTTGCTTAAAAATTCGACTATTCGATGTCGACAACCACAAATGTTGAGACAGATATAAAGTAAAAGATCATTTCCATCTTCATCTAATTGATGAATAAGACATAGTGATATTTTTAATGCTTTTTCCAATAATTTTCGTTCTTTTTTATCTAATAAAATAAATATCAAATGTTTTTTGGAAAATATTAAATCCAATGATTTGTCATTCATAATCATAGATATCCACTGTCTTCCTAATCGACTTTCGGTGATTAAATCTACACATTGTTGAATAAGATTCGGTTTATTAAAAAATTCTCGAAATCGAACTTGAGGATAAATATATTTAATAACATCTGATCGATGTGTCTTCATTAAATGTTTGAATATTCTTGTCAATCTATCTTCATATTCATCGTCCGATAATTCATTCGCCTTGATAATATACTCATCAACAACTATTTTCACTATTTCCCATTGAACAGTTTGAATATCTGTTCTTGACATTGGATAAAAAAAAGAAAGAAATCAACTGTAGCACGGTAAGAGTCCATATTTACATGGGGTGAAGGCTCCCATCTATACCAAACATATTCTCGTGAATGAAAGAGATTGTAAAGAAGAAAATGTTCCAGCTTCTTTTCATGATATAAATCAATATTATATGCATCCCTTAGCAGAGACGGGTTGGCGATAAGTAGGCTTTTGAATATTTGTAAATATGAATTAATCTCGGATATTGAATTTTTAGATGTAGGCCAGTTAAGATACGTAAGAAATGGATCTTTAACAATTCGAGTAAACTGCTTTGCACTGCTACAAACATCAAATTCCTGCCGATCACCTTTTGTTAAAATTAGTGATTTGATATGTCTGACATATTCCATAGGGCTAGCAGTATAGTCATATAAGCTATAAAGTTGACTCTCCAATTCCTCATCTACTGCAAGAATTTCATCATCGGTCAGTTGTTATCGAATTGCTTTAACTTTTTCAGAAGATAATCAAAATTCTTCACCTAGTTCAATGTATTTTTGTTGGATATGGAAGCTAATCAATGGTTGTAAAAGTTGAGAAAGTGTTTTTCCATCGATCATTGAATTTATTGATAGTAGCTGTTGGGACACTTGCTGAAATATTTCAGAATCATAATAATCATCGCGTACATGACAATGTAAATAATCAGTGAGTAAATGTAGATGTTTATCAAGAAGAATTCTGTTTAATCGTTGATTCAAACCAAGATATGTCTGAAATGTTGTGAAGGCATCACCTGAATATTGGAAAATAATCATTAAAATTTCAGCAGGTAGGTCTTCGAAAGTAGTCAACATGTTTCACGTGTTTTTAATCGTAGGTAATAATGAAGAAGAGATGTATTGTATATAAATCTTACAAACATGTAATTGCGCAATCTATTTACTCTGCGAATCACATTTTCGAGTATTCTTTAATTGCACAAACTAACAGTCGTCGGACGTAAATCAAACTTCAGTTCGAAGGTAACAATTACAACGATAAGTAAATGACGACATTCACATGCACTTATCTTTTTCATAACAAAAATGTGCAATATTCAAGTAAGAATAGGTAGATATTATCGAAGACTGAATTGAATGGAACTTTATCAGTTCGGATTTGGTTCATTTTTGTTCTCTGCTTCATATCAGAGAGACGCTCTAGTAATTGGATTTGAAGGAAATTATAAAATTGATACTAGACATGTTCTTGAAAGAAATCGTGATGAATAGTTGCGATGTGTCCTTTGAACAATTGAATGCGAGGACGAGCGTTGAAAACTATCAGTCTGTTCTAATGAATTAAAAAAGTGAATAGAACTTTTTTCTCATTTGATTCGTTTAAAACTCAATATCGATCAAATAATTTAACGTACGTAGCGAACTACTCACACAGAAACAATATGTAACGTTGTGGACAGAGATGGTTTGAGCTAATATAAAAAACAATACTTCAGATTCACTTATGGTTGCTTAATTTGATACTAAGGCAGATAATTTAGGAAATTAAATGACATAAGAACTGCTACAAGAGACTATTGATAATATGATGGTATTTAATAGTAAACATGAATGGAGACAATTCCTCGGACGAAGTTTTCTTATAAAGTGATTGGTGCCCATCATCAGTGGTCAACTGGGTATAAAATTTGTCCATAGAATTCACCATGATAGAAGTATTTTATCGATCTATAAAAACAAGGGACTTTAGGCTTATATTTATTTGGGTGCTACTTGTTATCGATGTTTTTTCGCCTTCAAATTGAACATGCTTATAGATGGTATGTATAGTATAAAGAAATTCTGTTAAATTTCATTGAATTTTGTTTTAAACAAAAAAAGCAGGAATTTTAAGCTTTTGTGTTTACTATGATAGAATGATAGCTATATTCTCTCACAGTTTAATACGCAAAAAATCAATATATTGATTTGTTTGTTCATAAAAATAGTTTCCAACATCATCTTCTGATATCGACTCTATCTAAGTTTAATTTTCTTTGTGATATACATATAGTCACCTTATGTAATTTAGAAAAACGACATGCATCACTGATTGTCATAATAGTATTTACACAAAATTGTTACATACAATTATCGTGTTCGATAACAGGAAATGATGTACATATAAAGTATATCTAAGATACTGTTCTACAACAATACTGACTTATTATGAAAAACAAATATGATAATTAGAAAAAAATATATTTATTTCAAATCGCTTCCATATAATAAAAATAAATTACTATGAAGAATGTTCACATTTTTCTATGATCGATCTGAAGAAGAAAAGATGAATCAACATATTACAACTGGCTTTTCTCTTAGACGTGTTGCATACAGTTATAGAATGTCTAATGTTATCATGAATGACATACTTATATTTTAGGGGAAAAGATTGACTTGTTTCAATAGAACTATATGTAATGATCGTAGAGTAATGAAATGTAAACATCTGTTAATATGATATTCATTTAATGAATAGTTAAACTATGCTTTTTTTCTATAAATGAAAAACAAGTTACATTGCATTGTTCTTCTCTATAAAAAAGATTTTCTTATTTGCAGCTTTTTTCGAAGCAAATCTAGTTAGTATGTGGAAAAGTTTCGAAATTTATTTGCATAAGAAAAGTCACCTTGTTTTGATTATTTGTATAGTTTTTAGAGAGTAAAGGTCTTTGCAGCAAAAGTAATTTTAAAATTTTTGAATCAAATATTCATCAATAATTGATTAATATTAGCATTGTCACCAACATTTTTCTGATTTTCTGTTTTTTCTTTTGCATCAAGACATTTGTCATTTTCAGACGATTGTTGGAGATAATGATGAATTTTCTTTTCAAATGGATGTAAAACTCGTCGACTATACTGTATACGATCGTAAATCATACAAATACCCACAATATAATGAACTATGAATATTACTATGGTGAATATGTACATTGACATATTGCATTCATAGTAGTTGCTGGAGTAGTACTTACAATCAATACCTAATTCTTGAATGAACCAAATATGACCAATGAAAAACCAAATGATACAAAAAATCGTGACCAAATGAGTAAAAGCAGTTACCAACCAAAGAAAATAACGTTGTTCAGGTGGTAACTCTGCCATTTTGGCTGATGTCCAACTAGAAAAACAATAGATTAATAACAAGTTTGTGAATGAGACATTGATAGTTATTTGAAGAATTCAAGATAATATGGAGAGTATACTTACTTAAAAACAATGGCACATGTATGTATAAAGACAATAAAAAGACCACATGTACCTTGAACAATAAAAAAAATGCATAACATGCCAGGAGGACCGCAACTCTCTAAGCCAATCGAGCCAAATATAATGCAAAGAATGTAGATAATAAACATCACCAGAAGTTGAAGACGAAATGAATCTTCCAACAAGGATTTGCGATTTATTTCCAATTGAAAGATCTCCTTTAAATACATGATTGTATCAATTAAAGGCCATGGAAAAGTGAGTTCATTGAATCTAATAGATTGATTATTGGATATATTATCCTCTAACATAAGAGCCTGCTCTTCATTCTGTTCAGACGCTTCAATTATCTTCTCCATCTTTTTGTTGTCTTACGAGTTTGATTACACACCAATATATAGTTATGCTTTTCGTCTAAAAAAGAAATAGATAGACATGGATCAATGATTATCATAAAACAACTTGCGTAGACATGATGATAAAGTCCGAAGACGAAAGATAGAATTGAGTCATAATGGTGAATCAGGTAATTACATACAATGTTTAACTCATCATGTAACTATATTCGACTATCGTAAAATTATTTATTTATTTCTCTATTGTGCAATGGTCGTGACAAATATTGCCCTTTTTCTCGATCAATAGAATATTAAAAATAGGATATATTTTTGACATGAAATATTAAAGAATTCGATAAAGGTGCCAAACGAATCTTAGTTGGCAATGTGGCAAACTTGATCAAAGATCTAAGGAATTCCAATTTACACTTATTCATCGCAAAGATTCAATCGTTAATATTTTTTGTTCGTCACTATGAGTACCAATCGAAGTTAGTCTAAAAGAATCGAACCAGCCGGTATACTGATTTGAATCCTTGATTAAATTTTTTAGTTTAAACCAGGCTAAAGGAAAATATCAATTTGAGAAGTTTCTCTCAAATGAGTTAGCCAACCACTATTGCATTATTTTCACTCACCAATTTGTTTTTTTTTTAATTCGCATCCGTCTTCGATTAATTACTATCCAAAACTCTGTTTTCATACATAGAGAAGTTCAAAAAATCTTCTACGATGAGGGTGGGTGAGGGTAAATAAATCAGAGAATAAGGGTGTGGGTGTGGATATGAAGACAAAATCCTCACCAACACCCACACCCACAGCTCGTGCTTTGCTGTTTTAACTCCTCTCCATTTTCAAGTTTTATTTAAGGGGAAATCTAATAATGTTGGAAATTATATATACGTACTTGTTAAATGAGACTGTGTTGTATCAGTTTTGTTTTCTATTCTTCCAATCGATTCTGCTTTGTTTTATAATGGACGAAATTAGTTGGTTTTTTCCAACTTGCGCATATTGATGTGAATCAATGAACCGTGACATTGTCATCAGGTAGGTAGTTTGTTTTGCAAGGATGCATTCGATATTGTGTATTTTTCGTTCTCTCAATATTCTTTCTCTTTTTATTGCCTTTCTCTGCATTTCGTACTATTACGACGAGAAAATATACAATGATACTCGCATACAAGAGCGCATTACATTTAAGGAAGTGAGTATGCGTGTCGATGTCGTTGTGAATGTGGGTTGAGGGATATTCGACGTCAGGGCTCTCGATTGTTTTCAAGAGTGCCGGGGGCTAATAATTTTTCGCAGACAGTACTCATACATGCCCTCCAATTTTCCTAAAAGTCAGAAGTGAAGAGCAAAAAAAACCGTCTTCACCTAGGTTTTCTAGGCGTACTGAAGTACCTCTGCGACAGCCGATCCATTTCAATCCGAACTCTAAGCGCTATTAAAAATTTCGCAGACAGATAGCAAGAAAATTTTCTCAGACACGCTAAAAAAGTGCCAGGGGCTAGCTCCCGACACACCGAGGGGTCTGTTCGACGTCCACATCCACAAGTGAGGGTGGGTGGGTGTGGGCAGAGATGGAATTGGTCTGAATTTTTGAAGACCGGTACCGGTCTGAAAAAGTCAGACCCGGGCCGAACCGGCCGGTCTACCGGTAGGGTGTGGGTGTAAGTGAGGATGTGGGCGGATACGGCTGTGAGCATCGGTATGGGTGTGAATGGAAGCCATACTAACATCCACGATCATACTCACACCCACACTCTCGTTATCTCTTCATCTATATTGTGCCGATATATACGTCACGGCTCACTGCTCTTCCTCTTTCCTCTTCCTCTCTCTATTGTTCTCTCTGTGTCGTCTCTCTCTTTGTTTCTCTATCATATATAAGGTTGTGTTGAATGTGCAATAGGCACATTCTGGAGATGTAGAGTAGCTAATAAACATCATTACCAAGGGTAGCGGTAAGCTACTCCTCCAGTCTGTCATAACATCTCTCTCTCTCCCTTATTTATCGTTACATATATGATACCAACTTTTTCTACACATAGACACTAACGGAACTGGAAATCAGAGGAAATCAAATCGGAGACGAAGGAACAGGATATATGGCTAATATCTTACGATATAACACAGTTAGGCTCGTTGTCTCTTCATCTCTCTCATATTTGCATATTTTTTGCTTTACACACAGACACTCAGAAAACGAGACGTTCCATTAAATACAATCAGAGAGACGGGGATACAGCATATAACGGAAGCTTTACGAAATCACACAGTAACGCTCGTTCTCACATCGTTTGCATTCAGTTTGTCGTTTTGCCTACATATAGACAATCCAGAAATTGTATCTTTGTTACGGTAACATAAGGTTGTGGATGTGGGTGTGGGTGAAGAGAAAATCAACACTCACATCCAGCCATCCACACTCACACCCACACCTACTCGCGCACACCCACATCCACACCCCAGCCACATCTACACCCACGCCCACACCCATACCCTTATAGCATGAGATTTACTAAATAGTTGACTTAAACTTTCTGAGTGCACATAGCCGTGTTTCTATATGCACTTGAGTGTACATAGCCACATGGCTATGTGTACCTGAGTGTACATGGCCACTTCCATTTTTTTTAGCCTAATTTGATATTGATATCGAAAAAAATTGCTCTGCCTAGTCATTACTATTACCGTGTTGTTTTCCGTATTACTATCAAAATAGACTAAAAGGACTATATAGCATGTTCTATTTTTCTTTCAGTTTGTTCTGTTTCTGTGATCAATTCATTTGTACACTTTTTATGAAACGTTGAAAAGAACTAAGAAATGTCACTTATATTATAATAAATAACTAAAAAATTGAAATAAATTTCTCGAAAAATGCTTGAATATTTCAAAAACTTATTATTTGTGACCTTTGGGACTAACTATCCTTATGACTCTTTCTCAGTAAGAATTTGTAGTGTCCACATAAAAGTCACTTTAATCCTTTTTTTAACGATTAAATCGTACTGTGACTTTATGTTTGCTTCCACACTCTTATTATAGTGTGGCGACTCTGTGGAAGCAGTATTTCCAACAGCAGGTATGCTAACTCGTACAAAAAGGTACAGAATAGCTGCTGCTTCTGATGTACAGGGTCGGAAAGAATATTATTCAAGGGGGGTAACGCTATAAT